GCCTGTTCTTGAGACTCAGTGCCGCCGGAGTCCTACCTTCACGACAGCAAAATCAGCGCTTACTCCCCACACACCACCAGGGATTTCCAGGCCTTTAAAAAACTTCTACAAGTGTCCTACAGTCACTCCAGGGAGAATATGGGACTCTCCTCTGTGTCACCCCTCCTCTGTACCCCGTTATCTCCCCAGTAAGGGTTATGCCTGCCCCTGGATTGGCCGGGAACAGGTGGTGACGACCCAGGTAGAAAAGGCCACACGGGGACCTGTGTTAGACCTCTCCTAAACCCCATGTCAGGCCCAAAGCAAGCTCAGGGAATAAGCGAAGGTGGCCTTTGCAGAGGTGAGAGGAGGGCACAGTATGGAAGCTGAGAGATTCCCTCGCAGACTTTTGACGGGGTAGTCTGTCTGGGAAAGTTTGCATGAAGGCCAAGTCTATGACTAAACTAGGAGCTCTTCATATCCCGGGACTATCGGCCCTGCCCCTTTTCTTGGGCAGTAAATAACTCTTGACCTTGAAAAACAAGCCCTGGTGACACATTCGTGATGGCTGTGGGAGAAGCAGAGTCTGCATGTCTCGGTGCAGAACTCAGCGCTTCTAAACCTTGTCTGACCCTTTTGACTTGGCTTTCCTCATTGCAAAAAATGGCAGTGAGTACGGCCCTGAGAGCCAGCAAGGAAAGGGCCCCATGTCTCACGGTGAGTTCTGTAGTGCTCCATCAAGCCCCCAATACCAGGGAAACGCACCCTCCCAGCTGCTGGGGATATTGACACTGACGACCCACACTGTGTCTCTCAGGGGCCACCACCTTACCCAGAAAGGAACCGCATTGCCCAAGGTTACTCCACTTTCAGGAAGTCGCTGATGCTGCGATACAAGTGCCCATCCCCTTTCCTCAACCCGGGACACATCAGCTTTAGAGCCTCTTAAAGTGTCGCGTGGGTCCTCAGTTGTACCTGCATTATGGGTCAGCTTCCTCAATGTGCCGTCCTCACTTCCTCTTGGGTGGATTTTCGGAGTGCACTCTCGGTAAACCTGCACGCAGCTCTCTATCCCAGGGCACCTGAGCTAAGTGACTTTCCCTTCGTGGCCCCCGGTCCCTCCAAGGTCAGCTTGAAGATGTGTGGCATGAACAGCACCCTGGAAAGACGCTTTGTTAGGAACGCGTTTTGTCAGGTGTAGCTCTGGGCCGTTCATTTCCTCTTCTGGCGGCTCCGGCCTTCCTAACGAGGCCTGGGGAGGACAAACGGGGCCACCGGTGACAAAGCTGGTGACGCTAGCAATTTGCACCTGAAGTAACTTGAGAGATAGATTGCAAAGGAATTCCAGATACCAGAAGCATGTGGTATGCTCAGGAGAGCTGCTGGAAGTGGATGGGTGTGAGATTAGCAGAGATATTGAGGGAAAGTTGGAAAAGCGACGAAGAAGAGAAGGCAGAGAACCTTCTCTAGAGAGGAGAGATTTTTAATTTCCTGGATTACTTTTAATGGTTAAAAAAAAAATCCACATCTGTTAATTTACTGTGCGAGCCTTTGTAATTTGAGAGCTGATGGCCTTCTCGGGGAGGGGAGGATGGCTACGGATTTGTGCAAAGAGTTAAGTCTCATGATGCGAACAAGCTACGGGAGGCCCCACCTGTGTGTACAATGTACTTAAGGGATTAGAGCAAACTTTGAAATTATGATAGGTTTTACCTGGAGTAAGCACCTTACTCTTTAAGCTTCTATTTCCTTGAAGGAGGGGGGGGGGGGGACCATCACTTTTCTCTGGTAATCAGGTGCATGGGACACTCTGCTTGTGGGATTTGATGAAGGCTTAAGTGCAGGCAGATGAAGGATGTGTTATGTATATATTTTATTTTAAACCTATTTTCAATACTTGGTGACTGCAGTTCAAAGGTGTTGCTTCCAAGGGGTCTACCTGCCCTGAATGGAGGTGACATTTCCAGGGAGAGGAATGTGCCAGAGAGCCCCAGGAGCCCCCTTGCAGTGGGGAGGGGCTGGTGGCAGATGAAAGGGTAATTTTAAAAGAAGTTTTGCTGTGCTCTTCATATTCCCTTCAGGGTCTTCCAGAAATGCATGTAAGTACCTGAGGCTCTCTATTTAAACGAAAGGGCGGGGGCTGGAGCAGGTGATTTTTAAACCGAAGGCATCAATTTCTTCCCTTTCCACAGGATTTACCAGGGTGCGTGTGCGCACACGCGCGCGCGTGTGTGCGCGCGTTTATGTATGTGTGTGCGTGTGGATGGGCAGTGCGTTTACAAAAAACGCCCGTCATCTGCCATTGGCTAAGCTACCGTCTTTGATTATTTGGTCTCCTTAGATTTGTCAGGCGGGCTGAGGGAGGGAGAACACGGTAACCCCAAGTGTGCAAGCTCAAATTGGTCAAACCTATTGCCCTCAAATAGGTCAAGCTCAAACCACACGCAAATAGGTCTCATAAAGTCACAGTACTTTATTTTAAAAACACTCCTGTTGGAAAAAAAAATACATAGAAAAATAAAGTTTGGCTGGGGTCCTTTACTAAATGTCAAGTCACAGGCTTTCCCATCACAGACTGCAGCAGGGTTTGACACGCATGTGGAGAATCCAAACTAACGTACGAAACAGAAAACAGGCTGTCTGGGTGAAGTGGTCAGGGGCGCCCTCGAGTTCACCCACCAGGTACCCAGCGGGAGTTCTTCAAGTGCTTGTTCCGCCAGTTCAGATGTGGGTGAGTGCCTCGCTCCAGTGGAGGGAAAGCAAGACGGATTCACAGACCAAATGACCTTAAACAAAGACTTTTTTTTTTTTTTTTTTTTTTTTTTTTTTTTGCAACACAGCACGCCATCATGGTACAATGTTCAATGTTTGTAGAACAGCAGGTTAAAAGAAGTAAATGGAGAGGGTGGGCGAGAATGGGTACTGAGCAGGGAGTGAGCACTAAATGCTTCTCTTAAAAGACATGTGAACGGAGCAAGCAATGTAGGCCAGTCCGCTGGCTGTGCCCCGAGTACTTGTCAGCAGCCGAGCATTTAACAGTATTTCAACGTGGAGCCCAAACGGTAGAAAATGGGGTGAAACGGGCCAACTTTCTATCAACTCTGGCAGTTTTGCCACCAACAGTAAATCGGCCCTTTTAATAGGAGGAAATTGAATGGTTTCTCGCTAAACAGAATTAAGTAGTGGGATCAAGAGATTTCCAGGCCTCAGGGTACCTCATTAGTAACTGGCTTCTTTTACTCTGATGTCTCCCCTCTGCCAGGTCACCTTAAACAATCGGGTGGGAACAGAAGGGTGGCCCAATTTCTGCTTTGCCTTCTTCTCATTCTTGCTGAAGTCACTAGTTGTCTCTTTTGGGGGACCCGTTCTTTATAGGCATTAAACGCAGTTCCCGAAGTATTTGGACAGTTTCATTGTCTGGTGATGGACGCCACTATAATGTTTTGAAAACTGTTTCCTTTCTCTTAGCCCCTTCTGGCAAAGTGCCCCCTCAGCTTGTGGCTGGGGACCCAGCTCCCTAAGGTGCCAGCTGCCTTTTCTCTGCACCCTGCCCGTGAACCCTGTATTTCCACCGGACGGCTCAACGATGCCCGGTTCTTCATTTTGTTCTCTTTGTGTCTGAAAGCCCAACACCTCTTACCTTCTCTGCCTTCTCCTCTGGGGATCCCAGAGGGCTGTCAGACTTTGAACTGTAACAACAGAGCCACCAGAAAGTTTATAAAGGTAGCAGTGACCTTTTAGAGCTGTCAAGTCTTTAAATAGGATTTGGGATTTAATGTTGTATTTTTTTTTTTAAATAATTGCTAGTTAAAAAAAAAAAAAAATGCATGTCTTTTAGCCAAATCAGAATCTCCAGCCCCCTCCACTATTTTTTTTTTTTTTTAACCCCAGGAGAGATAAAGCCTTGTCAGGGGGAGGGCAGGGGGGGATAAAGACCAGATCTCAGGCTAAATAAGGAAGGTGTATATGTTAGGTGCAGCCAGACTAAAAGTCTGGACTGAAAAGAAGCCCTTCAGCGGGTGATTGTTGTGGAGAAGGAGCAAAAAATAAAAGAAGGGAGGGAGGACAGGAGTTTACAGGAAAAGGATTATGTGATCTGCCATGATGTAGTCTGAATTACAGCCCGAAAACTCCAGGAAATTTCTCGTTCGAATTCTCAGGTCCGGGGCAAAAAAGGTCCAGGGGAGGCTTTTATTGAACCTTTATTAATAAAAATGTAATGCCGCCCAGCAGCAGTGCCGAGGGCCCTCCTCAGGCTGCTGTCTCAGACATGTGGAGACTCTTCTGGCCCGGGCCCACCCCTTGCAGCAGAGTTCTGTTTATACAGCTTGTCCTAAAACCACGGTGAGTGCTTCCTGTTCTACTTGGGCCACCCTGTGAATACTTAAGGTTGGCGTGTTACTTAAAAAGGAATAATAAGAAGCTTATATTTTCACCTCCTCCTACCCATCTCCATATCCCATGCCGATCTGTGCTGAGCAGGACCGGTTTCTCTGTAAGAGCCTCTGGCTTCCACTCTCCCACAGGGACAGGGAGAAACCTTCGTTGTAAACCAAGGCCAACGAGAGGTTTTTGAACTTAGGTGGGATTCAGGAGGTGACACCTTCATCCTGGCCATCCTGTTTCCCTTCAGGTTTGCAATCCTCCAGGCTGACGCTCAGTTACACAAGAGGATGGAGTTGAAACAACATCCTCGGAAGTGATGGGGACTGCTCATACGGAAATAGAAAGTGCTAGAGACAGCACTAGACTTTGTCCCTCCCCACTTCACGCAGGTCTTTAAGAGCAAAAACGGCCCATTTTAGGTGTTAGGGAGCCATCTGGATATTAGTCACTGTCCCAGATCTTTCACTAGCCCCCCAGTGAAGAACCTAGGATGTCCATGCAAACCTCCAACAATTTCGGCCTGCATACCTCTTGCTCCTCTGTCCTCCCTGAGCCTGGTCCCCTTTGCCATCCAGAGAGACACGCTGGGGAAGGCAGTGTTTTTTGATCATTCGTGATTGTCATCTGAGCTGGCATTACCAGAAAGCCGGGTTCCAGCCTCCCAAGCAGTACAGGTAGGGGTAGTAAGGGTAGCTGTTACACATGGAGATGAGGGAGGCTTGAGATAAACCCTCCTCTTTGAGAGCCGGCAGGGAGGAGTGCTTCTCCAGGCCTCCCAGGTCCGAAGTGAGCTGCTTTCGCTTGGTCTTATAGCGTCTGTTCTGGAACCAGATTTTCACTTGGGTCTCAGTGAGCTTGAGGTTCTTGGCCAGGTGAGCCCTTTCAGGAGCTGACAGATACTTCTGGTGGCTGAACTTCCTCTCTAACTCAATGACCTGAGTGTGGGAGAAGGCGGCTCGAGAGCGCTTCGGTGGCTGCTTCGGGGTTTGGGGAAGGCTTGGCAAGGCGCCTGCACTGTTTTCATAGTCCAATAGATAAGCCTCAAAGTGTCCATCTGGAGAGGAGAAGGGAGAAGGAGGGATGGGAAGGAAAAGGTTACATGTTAGAGGGTAGAGAACGGAATTCAATACACCCTTATCTCCGTGGTAGTGAACAAACGGCCCAGTGTCATCTTGGATACATTTCGCTTTCTTCACATGACTAAGGAACTCTCCCTAGTAGGGAGTGACTGAATCCCTATATTATGTATTCGTTTTCTAATACTCATCAAGAACCCAAAGATAGGAGAGGTTAGTGGTAGAACTTCCTGCCATATCGTCCAGCAGAATTAAACAGGGTCCCAGATCAGCATATTGAGGTGGGAGAAGGGACCCAGGCAAGACACAGAAATAAAACACCTGGTAAAGCAGGACCCAAAGACATCAGTGTTAACTTCCAGGTGGCAGGAGAGGGCCTGCGCTATAGGAGAGGTGGCGGGGGCTAAGGACAAGTTCATTCTCTGACTCGAGTCCCCTTTTTTCTAAACAAGCCTGTAGGATGCCTCATCCGAAGTGACAGGAAAGGAAATAAGAGTAGTTTAGGGGTGTCCAACGGTGTTATACTTCCTGAAGGCCCGAGGGGCCTTCCAAACTCAGTTTTATTGCCCATGGAATTGGGAAGCAGAGGGGGTCTTCCCTGGCCAAACCCTAGTTTATTGATATTAATAAGTTGCGATCAGTTATTTGTTATATGGTAGTAATGGTAACTGCCAAGAGGCAGTGCGGGGCGGGCGCCGATCGAGGGTCGCGCGGTGGCTGGGAGCGGGTGGCGGGGTTTTCACCGGGGACTCTGGGGCTGGGGAC